CCGGGTGCGGTCTCAAGTCTGTAATCCCAGCACTTTGGAAGGCAGAGGCAAGAAGACTGCCTGAGACCAGAGGTTCGAGACTAGCCTGGGCAACATGGCAAGACTTCATCTCTGCAATAAATCAAAAAATTAGCCAGGTGTGGTGGTGTGCACCTGTAATTCCAGCTACTTGGAAGGCTGAGGCGGAAGGATCAAGGCTGTTCAAGACTGCGGTGGCTGTGAGCCTGCTACTGCATTCCAGCCTGGGCAACAGGGTGAGACTCTAACTCAAAAAAAATCGAATGCGTTTTCTGCTTTGCTGACTGGAACTTCACAAGTAAAAAAATAGTCACTGTAAATTACATAATTCTTGTCATTAAAAAAAAAAAAGAAACATCAGTTTTCAGGGGAATGGGAAGTGGATAAGGTTTTACCTAGAAATTCCAAGGGGAATCTTTTACCTAGGACTTATTAAAACAATGGATTATAGTTGTAGAGTTTCAGAAGTTTTGGAAAGCACAAAGAAAGTCCTAAGCACAAATGAGAAATGCTTTCATCCAACAAATGTATGGATTACAGATAAATTTCCTACCTTAAAGTTTTGAAAAACACAATATAGTAATCATATTTTATGATTCACCTTGACTAAAAGGGGGGGGGGAAACTGAACAAGACTATGAGAGGAAGAAATAAATTTTAAAGATACTTTTAGTTCAAGAATATAAGAAAGTATTATTCCTGTTAATCATTTACATTTTATTTAACCTCAGAGCATTCTTTTGAAATTAAGTTATTCTGAGTCTACAAGTTTGACAGATACACAAATCTACTTAATAATCTGAACAAAGAAATTCAGTAACCGGTTCAACTTGTTCAGAAAAAAAATACATCATCTATTTTTCTCTCAATAAATTCTATCAGGCTAAAAGAGATTGCTTTATATGCAACTTTTATCATATGAGTAATTTAAATAAGAATTAATGGGAGTTCCGAAGCTATATAAAGTAGATGTAAATTGGTCAGAATGTCAGTAATTCTCAATAGTTACCACCATCAACCAGGTATTAAAAATTGTGGGTTGATAGCTGGTGTGTAATAAAAATTTTAAAGCAAGAACTGACCTTTCAACTGCAGACATGCAGAATATTAAACGAGATTAGATTCTTTGTGTGTTATAGCTTTCAGTGTTTTGCTTTCAAATTAATACTTTCAAACTCAGTGAGTTTTTCAGAACAAATACCAGGAAAAATGACACAAAATTGAAGCACTGTTAAATTATGCACCTGAACAATTTACAAAATGATATAATAACATATGAATTAACAGTTAAGACAGTGTAATGTTATAATTATATATTTGTTATAATTATATAATATATAAGTATATAATATTGTTATAATATATATCTATTACATATAACTATATATTATATATATAACTATATATTATGATATACATGGCTATATTATGATATACATAATATACAGTTATATATTATATATAGTTGATATATAATACATAGTGACATATAACTATGATAATAATAGTTATACATCATAACTATTATAAATATATCATAACTATATATAGTTATATATATTTGTATTATGTATATATTTATATGTACATATATTATTTCCTGAAAAATACATAATCACTAAAATAGTCACTAAAAACCTAAAGATACAGTGTTAACCTTCAAACACAAAAATCTAAATTAATAAAAGATCTTGAATAGGGTAATACCATAAACACTACTAAGGCCTGTTACACAGTAGGGCAAGTATGCTACCAAGGCAAGCTTTTAAATATCCACAAATTGTTAAAGAAATAAGAATGACAATAAAGTTTAATCCATGAAGAGTCCATATGTTTTGCAAACTGTGGTCATATCTATCTTTTATCAGGTCCATGCAATTGCTCTGTGAAGACTGAGTCTACTTTTCAAATATACTTTGACTCTTCTTCTACTCTATATTCCATGGCCACAAATACTAAATAAAGTCCATACCACCCTGTTCTTAGAACATTGTAACTTCTTCTTGACTGATTTTCAGGTCTCTAGTATCTTCTATCTAATCCACTGTTTGCAGCTTCATCAAGTTTGTCTTTATAAAACACAAATCTTCTCACTAAAGAATAAGTAAGGTGTAAGCACTCTAGTGAGACATTAAGCCCTTTCCAACCTGGTTCTATTGACTCCAGTCAGGTCAGAATAACAAACATGGCAGACTGCTCCTTCTTTCTGGAATACCATTCCACCTTTTTTTCCCCCCTAGAAAACTCCTTACTCATCATATAACCTCCAAAAAAATGTCTTCCCTGATTATCCTATTAGCATAATTAATCATGCCTTCAACTGGGCTCCCAAAGAACATTGTAAAACCTGTACTTTTTTGTGTTCTGCTATAATGTCTAATGTAAATCACTAGCACCTAGCAGAGTGTCTATTACTAACATAATCATATACATAATAAAAATAACTTTCTTTAGAAAGGAGCAAATAAATAATGATCATATATTATAAATGACCACTTACAGTAAAAGTACCTACAATAAAAGTTAAATGGATAACAAAGAGTGCTTACATATACCAGGCACTATTTAAAAAGCTTTATGTATAATAAATAAATAAATATAAATACATTTAAGCCCTATGGGACTTCATGAGGTAAAAATTATCATTATTTTGCAGATAAGAGAACAGAAGCACAAGGAAGTTGAATACTTTTCCTAATTTATACAACTAGGACATTCTAAAGCTGGGACTTGAAGTTTATCAGCCTGGCTCTAGAAGCCACATTCTTATCACTGTGAAATCAGTGACGAGCACTCAAAATGTTCACCTGCCAGCTCCTTGGGAGTAGACCCAAAGCCCATTCAGGACAGAGACTAGAGGTAGCCACATGAGGCTGCTGTGGAAGTAAAAACCAGCTGAGCGTCAGCCGTGGCTAAACTGCTCAGCAAATTCTCCTAAGCCTCTTTAGCGGAAGAGAAACAGCCAGCTCCAATGGGATATCAATGTTTCTTCTAGTGGGAACTCTAACAGACTGCACTTTACTTGACTTGAACAGGAAGAAAAAATAATTATGTCCTAATAATGACATTATAAACCATGGCAATTAATCTTACAATCCTTAATAATAAAAAGGTATTCTTTATATTAAAACTAATACTAAACTGAGATTTATCTTGGAAATAAAAATTACAATCTTTTCCAATTACCAATGCTTCAACTCCTATGCTACTTCATGTAGAGATATAAGTATTAAATTGGAAATCAGGGAAAGGTGACTTTTCAAGAGATTACTAAAAAGAGGCTTCATGTAATAAGAAAAAGATGAAACAGAGCTAAAGTGAGCCTTTTTATATACATCATTTCTGTGAATCTACACATTAAATATGGTGTGAGCTTTTTTTTTTTTTTTTTTTAATTGGAGTCTCACTCTGTCACCCAGGCTGGAGTGCAGGCATGCTCAGGGCCACCACAACCTTGACCTGCTGGGCTCAGGCAATCCTTCCACCTCAGCCTTCCAAGAGGCTGGAACTACAGGTGCTCACTACCATGCCTGGTTTATTTTTTGACTTATTGTAGAGATGAGGTCTCACCAAGTTGCCCAGGCTGGTCTCGAACCCCTGAGCTCAGGCAATCCTTTCGCCTAGCCTCCCAAAGTGCTGGGATTATAGGCTTGAGCCACCACTCCCAGCCTTGGTGTGAGCTTAAAAAGGACAAAACAATAATTTACTCATTTTTGTTACCTCAGGATTTACAATGCATTTTTCTGGAAAACTACAGAGATAAAATGGTATTTGTGTTAGACATTAAGGGACATTTTAAAAATTATTCAAGTGAATTGAGAGGAAGATAAATCTATTTAGAGTGAACCAAATAAAAATGTTTTAAAAGGGTCTCACATATTAAAAACTTAAACAAGAAAAGAGCAAGTACTCTGCTGTGGCAAAAACATGGGGTGTGTGTTACAAAGATGTCAGAATGAAGACAGGCAGCCAACTTGGGGCGAGCCCACAAATGCCCATGCTAGGAGCTGGCATTTTATTTTATTCCTAAGAAATCAAACAAGTTCTCAAAAAGGAGAATTATATGGTCCAGAAGGATAATTAAGAGTAATTCAACTAAAAAGGTGAGGATTTCAGGTTTAATCTGAGGATACTTGTCTATTGTCTATTTCAGTAGGACAAGAAAAGTCAAGTAGCCACATGACAACAGGGCCAGAAAATTACTCCAAAATCTACCGTTGACCATTTCCTTCAATAGTTTGTTTTATCTCTGGATCCTTGGTTTTCTCTCTTCTGCCTAGCCCCTTCAGAATGAGGACTACTGAGCTTATCAGTGACTTCTCCCAAGACACTTCTTCTCCTAGAATAAAATCTTTGAGCAACACGTACAATATTCTTTCCTTCTGCCCACACATTTATCTCACTGTTCCCATGACATCAGATTCTATGTAGGCTTCATTCCTTGCTCCCTGTATGGGAGAAATGGAACAATTAAGGGGTGTGCTGTGACTTATAAATCCAACATCTGAGAACTAGTAGTGGGTTGTATCTACATTCCAAATAGGGGCTTGGAAAAAGGAAGAGAACGAATTTGAGTTTCTAATCGTGGGTTGGGTCTTAGAAAAGTTTGTGTAAAAACTGAAACCAGGCTCAGAAACTGTTATAAGAAGCTGAGTGTTAAGAAAAAACATTACCAAACAGTAAGGCAAGAAATGAACTGCTAAAAGAGAGATTGAAAGTTTGAGTAAACTTGGTTATTCATTTAAAGACTGCAAAGACTGGTGTTAAAAAAAAAAAAAAGGGAAGTAAAATGTTAGCTTCAGGAAAAATTGGTATGAAGAAAGAAGATGATCACTGATCACAGGTCATGACTTCCGAGTTAGGAACATGTGCAATGTGACTACTTATATGACTCAGGCTTAAGTGGGTAACACATGCTTAAGATGTTGGGGCAAAAAAGAGAAGAGAATAGAAAAGAATCAGAAGAATCTTCCACTACTAACCTGGTTTAGTTTCTTCCAGAGATTGAGGACTGGAGAAAGTTCATTAGACCAGATTTCTCGATCAAATTTGCAACCAGCTGTTACAGATTTACTCAAGATCCTCAACTGAGAAATAACCTGGATAAAGAAAATAGTAAAAAGCAATAAATGCAAATAACATCAGTTAAACAGGGAGAAAGACCAGAGGTACAAAAACAGACATATTTATCTTATAACAAATAAGGCCCAAAATACTGTAAACATTTTTAACCCTACTATCTCTGCTCAACAGGCTTCACATGTTATTGAGTTATTTACACAGTTAAAAAAACAAAAGAACTTAAGGTTGAAGAAAAGCATTGTGAAAATTAGGTACTGGTTCTTATTTCAAAAGCTGCTTCTTTATTTTGAAAACTCTATCAGTAATTAATAACGTCTTGATGTCTCTATTTGCCCATTTTTGAAATTCAGAATATTTTTCAGTTTGATTTGAATTCCACAAGTTCAAGACTCTGACAAATTAAAAGTTTCTTTAAAAATATATGACAGGAAAGATAGTAAATAGCATAGCAAACACTATATAATGTAAAAGCAATGATAATTATTAGTTGTTAAAAATTCTTCATACACCTAAATTTTAATGCTCCATATTAGCTTTAAGTTGTAATTGCAATGTTTCCTCTACACACAAAGCTCCAGTGAAAACAATGTTGGTCGATTAACTCTAACAAGACAAGGTAAATAATTACTTTCTATTTAAAACTTTCACTTCTATAACTTCCTTATTATCAGATTCTTTATCACCCCTCTCATCAAAACTAATTCACTAACATTTTATTTTCTAAAATAATGTTTAATGACTCCCAATTTAATAACATAAACTTTCTTAATTATTTGCTAAAAATTATCCAGAATATTATCAAGTATGCTAAATATTGGATTACAGATATTGTGATATATATGTGTGTATACAATTAGTGAGGTGTCCATTGATTGTTCTTTATAATATTACAACTAAATATTAAAGAATTACAAGTAAATATTAAAACTGTGCTTTTCTGTTGTTTGTCTAACAAAAACAAAATAAATCTCAAAAAACAGGTATATGTTTTCCTAGGCTAGTATTTTAAACTTCATCATTTGCCTTATGTTGACTACTTGTCTGTTTTTTTACTTTCTGAGAGATGTGAGTTATTTTTCCTTGTGTAGCACATTGAGCTATATATTTCATATTTTCTAAGGTTCTTGTATTAGTAACATTTAAAGTAAAATAAGGGCCATAAATCTTTTGGAATGAATGTACTACTTAATTGTTAAACACCCACAATCATGCTCTTAAACTCAAGTTACTTCTAGAGCTTTTGATTGATTCTCTAGTCTTACAAAATTGTAGTGATTCAGTGTTTGGTTGTCTTTGTTTTTCTGATAAATTATTTTCATTTGCTTTAGCTGAACCCTAGAACAGCACCCAATTTATCAGCTCTGCTACATTACAAAATGCCATTAGTTGGTAGTCAGAAGCAGTGCCTCTTTAACTCTGGTAAGATTTGCTATCACTTATTTGTCAGACACGACAGAAAACACATAAGAATGCAAAAAGATGTCTAAAGGAAAAAGGGATTATGTTTTTGTGCGTGATGTTAAAAATTATTTTAAGAATAAAATGAATACCAGCCAGTAGAAGGTCATGTTTTCCATCCTAGAAAAATAACATGTGAGGCTTGTTTTCTTAAATTAATACTATCATATTATAACGTTTAATGAACAGCAAGCAATTGAAAAGGACGTTCCAATATATAACAAAATTATTTTTACTAATGAGAACAGGGTTATAACTTATATATAACAATAAACCATCTTTTTTTTTTTTATAAAATCTAACAAGCCGGGCTCGGTGGCTCAGCCTGTAATCCCGCGCCTTTGGGAGGCTGAGGTGAGTGGATTGCCTGAGCCTGCAGGTTCGAGACCCGCCTGGGCAGCGAGACCTCATCTCTACAATAAATCAAAAAATCAGCTGGGCGTGGTAGCGCATGCCTGTAATTCCGGCTACTTGGAAGGCTGAGGCGGAAGGTTCGCCGGGGCCCAGAGGGCGAGGCTGTGGTGGCCGGAAGCGGCCACTGCACTCCAGCCTGGGCGACCGAGTGCGACTCCAACTCAAAAAAATAAATAAATAAAAATAAATAAAAAAATAAAATCTAACATAATTATCTTTTTATAAAATACCTTTATCTTTTTATAAAACATTTAAATCTTTATATTAAAATACCTATTTTTCACATTTTAAACCAAACACAAATAATCTTTTAGAATGTTGCTTTACAACGGAATTAAAAGGGATACAATTTCACAGTATTAGCATCATATTTACTTCAATTCTCCCATTTTCCACCCATACCTAAAAGCTCGCACCATGCCATGGGCCTCCTCTGGGGGTCTATCAGAAGCGCAGGGAAGCCACAGAAGACTATGTCATTCCTACTCCACCTGTACTCATTTCAAAGGCCAGTGGGGGACATTTCAGGGATGCCTATGCTTTTCCTGAGCAACTGGTATGTTCTTATTGCAACAAACCAAATCTTACACGTAATTGTATTCTCCTCTTCTTTTGGGATATTATGAAGACAGAATACTTTTTGATCTAACAATACCAACTTCACAGAACCTGACAACACAAGCTGTTTCTGCTGTTTTGTTTTCTTTTGGCATAACTATTTCCTCGCTTTTATTATCTTTTCCCATCCTAACTCTGTCTTTGACTAATTTCTTCAACTGTTGATTTCTCCCTTGTAGTGTATATTTTCGTTAGTCACTTTCAGTAAATCCTTTGTGGAATCACACTCACTGGCATTTTATAGATGAGGAAATGTCAAAGAAATTAAGTGAGTTATATTTCTGTTGCAAGAATCACGGCAGGCTAGATGTCTGGAGAAAATTCAACAACAGAGACCACTTCAGAATCGCAAATGGGGAGGGGCCGAGACGGCCGGCTAAGGCCATGGGGCGACAACCTCTGCGCGGGTCCGAGGAGGGGCCAGGCTGGCCCTCCGCAGGTCTGCCCAGAAGCCCAGGGGAGCTCAGGGCCGCCGCAGACCGCAGAGGCCCACGGCCCGCCCGGCCACCTGCGGGGTCCCCCCGCCCAGGGAGGGACACCCCCT